CACCTCGCTCCCATGCCTACTGCTTCTGTAGCTGCTTCATCCTCTTAAACTCATTCGTCTTCTTATCCCACTCGGCCATGGTGCGGTTGGCCGCCGCCATGAACCTATCCTTCGGCAGTGGAGATGGGCAATCCGTGAGGATGAGCCTCTTCGGCTGGTCCTGCTATCCCAATGTCAGCACCAAGGGGTCGAGAGTTCAATTAAAAAGGAGGCATAGGAAAAAAGAACTTACGAAGTCAATGTACCCTGATTTTGGCCCCATTGGGGGATACCCCGGCACTGGGTACATGAAATCAAGAGCGGCGCCAGCACCGTCCTTCAAGGGCTCCATCACCTCCTTGATGCGCTGCGCCACTTCAGAGGGGGGGAAGCGCTCCCTCAGCAAGCGCCGTCCCTACGACTGATGCTCCAGGCTCCATCAGGTGCAGGGGAAGCGCGTGGGCCATCAGCGGCGCCACCCTCCTCATGTGGTAGGCGCCGATGATCCCCGACCCATTCACGCCCCTCTCCTTCAAAATTTGGAGGGCTACGAGATGGTCCTTGATCTTCTTCTTGTCTTTGTCCGAGACACCCCACTTCCACGACTCTGGGACCTCTTCGATGATGCGCCCGGAGAACGCTGGCAAGGGGGCGGCAACATCATCCTTGACGTAAAACCAATGCGAATGCCACCCCTTGTTGGAGGTCGACAGACGCATCGACCAGTATTCGTTCACCCGGTTGTTGCAGAGATGAATGCCGGCACATCCCACCAGCACGCACAGCTCTTGCTTCCCGACCCGCTTCTTCAAAAGGTTGATGGCGAAGAGATACCGCCACAGGTCGAAGTGGGGACTAATCTCCAAGAACCCCTCACACAGGACGATGAACGCCGCAATGTGCTAGACCCCATTGGGAGTAAGGTGCTGCAACTCCACCTTGTAGTAATCCAGCAGCCCCCGGAGGAACTTATGGGCGGGGTTGGCGAATCCCCACTCGTGAAAGCAAGCAAAGGACACAACATAACCTTCGGGCGGCGACAGCTCGTCCTCATTGCCGGGCAGCCACCACTCCTCGGCGGTGGTCAGCGGGCAAAGGAGGCCACGGCGGATGAGGCCCTCCAGGCGCTGAAGGGTGATGTCGGATCTGCACCATGGCTCCATTGGACGATTGGGAGGGGGGTGGACGCGGGCTTGACGACGGCTGCGATGTAGGTGCGGGAGGCTCAGGCGATTGGCGGTGGAAGTTGTAGATGCAAAGGCGACAAGGCAAAGTATGGAACCCTAGGGGCGAACCCCTTGGTTTTATAAGGGCGACGGGTGCGAGAAAGGCAACGGTCCTCCTAGATCTCCGTGCCTGCCACGATACACCACCATGTCACATCGCGGGATACGCGCCCGCGATCCCTATCCTTTCCCACCAAAGTCACGCCGAACGTTTCGTCTTCCCAGGTAGACTAGGACTCTTTTCCCACAGAGGGGATACGGGTCAAGAACCATTTCTCTGGCCCGCCCGGGCCTAGGAGTTCGAGGGCTGGCCCAATAGCTTCGATGGCCGTCCCAACGAGGGATGGGCCCATGAGTGGCCAAAACCCAGGCGCACGAGCCACAAGGGAGTCTCGATCCCCGATCAAGTCTCAACCAGGCTAACCCTGGACAAATCCTCGTGAACGGGATACCAGGGTTCCCTTTAGACTATCCAGTTATCAAAAACATCAAATCTCACAGCCATACCCGTGAAGGGTCCGAAATACCCCCCGGGCGATTCTATCCGAATCACCCAGGGGTTCGGGGGCTACACCCGACGGGTGCGCTCGCGCGCACCCTCTAGCAAATCGAAATACCTCTCGAACGATTCTATCCGAATCACCTAGGGGCTCGGGGGCTACACCCATCGGGTGCGCTCGCGGGCACCCTCTAGCGAGTCAAATCCCCCCTCGGGCGATTCTATCCGAATCACCCGGGGGCTCGGGGGCTACTGTTAGGGACCTAATACCGGGGTACCCAATGAGGTAGAACTAATAACATTCAGACACTGATGCTTCCGAACAGGCGGGAATGCAGCTACACTCCTTGTCCATACAACCGAAGGTTGGCTCCGCCTTGCCCGACCTCAAGGGCTGGGCTCCGCCTCGCCCGATGACTGAGGGCTGGCTCCGCCTCGCTCGACGTCGCCCGACGACTGAGGGTTGGCTCCGCCTCGCCCGATGTCGCCCGATGACTAAGGGCTGGCTCCACCTCGCCCGACGGCTAAGGGCTGGCTTCGCCCCGCCCGACGTCCCAGGGCAGGCTCTGTCTCGCCTGACGTCCTGGGGTTGGCTCCGCCTCGCCCGACGACTGCACCCTACTTCTTCATAATGACGGGCATAGGATAAGATAGGACATTCGAGTCAACCGCAGTACCGAGGACCATGCCCTGCACGCCTACAGGAAAGTACCATCAGGATACGACAGGACGGGCGCTTTAAGCCCTTCCAGGCATGGCAGAGCCCGAACAGTGTTGTAGGCACCGACTTTTGTCTCACAGTGTTGTGGGCGCCGCCATTAGCCCTCGGACGTGGATCCTAACATAAGCATACGACGACCACTACAATCCAAGAGAGAACTCGCATCATCTACAGTTATGAACATATAGTCACTTCCCCGTCTGCTCTCCGTAGGATCACAGCTCGGCACCCCGGTATGCCGCACCGTCCGCCGAGTGGGATGGGATGTAACCACTTGCTGAAACGAAGCCAGGGCATGGCCATGTCAGGATCAGTGAACGTGCTATTCCTGGCATGGTCTGCCATGTCAGCGGAAGCAGGCTCAAGGGAAAAGGAAGACCCGGCACCTTCAAAGAACCGTCTCTACCTTTGGTTTTCCTCTTTCTTCCATCTGTAACCCCTGCTCCCCCTTGGTCTATAAAAGGGAGGGCAGGACACCCCGCTAAAGGGATGGATCGATTCCACACACAACATGTCACATAACACACAGCCAAGCAGCAACCGAGCTCTTGACATCCTTTCGACCCTTCCATCAGAGACTTGGGACCTGTCCCTCTCTCAACCGTTTGTACCCCCTACTACGAACCTTTTTTGGTGCTAATAACACAAGCAGCAACAGACTAGACGTAGGGACATTCTGCCCGAACCAGTATAAACCTTGTGTCCTTTAGCACACCATCCGGGCCTAACGCGCAACAAATATAAATTTACTAGTTTGTGTTTACTTGAAACACCGACACCACCGCCGTACAACCTCCTCTCCCACCCTTTCGAGGAGGAGGGATTTTCAATGTCAGCGTCGACAGCCCTCCACGGGATGGAGAAACCGACGAGGACCGCGCCGCGCGTGTTAACAGGAAAGCCAACCGTGCGCAGCACCGAGCAAATGAGGCCGCCATTGTGCTGGCCGAAGCTGCTCGCAACGAACAGCTCGACTCGCAAGGGAGGCCACGCCCACTCCAACGCAACCTCGATGACGAATTTGTCCGTGTTGACGGCCACGACGTCTACAAGACCCCAAGCGCCAACTTGGTCATGGCTGCCAATGAGCTCGCCCGGCTTCCACAAACGTCAGAAGTCGCCAAGGTCGCCGCCATGCTTAAAGCGGCGCACTGCCAGGTCAACGAGATCTGACAGGATCAGAGGCCTTCCTACTCGATGAGCTCGATTCGTCGATCCGCCGTGCCAAGATCTAATCGCCGCCCCAGCAGAAGTCATTTCGCCGACCAGCACCGCGACGACGGACAACCTCTCTAGGGGGAGATAGGGGCAACTGCATCGACTACCCTCGCCAACACGACCAGGAAGTCGACCAAGACGTCCGAGCGCACATCAACAATCTCCGAGACGTGCGACGTCATATCGACGGACGCCGTTTCTCTCGCCATGAAGAAGTACGCCGCCGTCAAGAATACGAGAAAGAGTTCGGTAATCCGGACTCAGCCCTCCAGCCACTCAACGTCGGCAACGCCGCAGATCACGACGGCGATGATCCCGAAGGGCCCCGAGCATTCACGAGGGCACTCCGAACACTCCAGTGGCCCCGTGGTTTCAAAATCACTGGGGTCGAGCCCTACGAGGGACGGATGAACCCCACACAGTGGCTGCAAGCTTATGCCACTGCTGTGCGCGCCGCCGGGGGAGATACCAGCGTCATGGCGAACTATCTTCCCGTCATGCTTACGCCAACTACGATGAACTGGTTCACAAGCCTCGCCCCAGACTCCATCGGATCCTGAGAAGAGCTGAAGAAGGTCTTCACCGACAACTACATGGCTACGTGTACTCGGCCGGGCACCAAACATGATTTGAATCGCATCTACCGGAAACCGTCCAAGCTCCTATCGAAAAGAAGTTTGTCCAATTTTCGTATGCCTAATGAGTTCCCGGGCTGCCAGGGTTTTCAAATTTGAGCAGAGTACTAGTTTTCCTTTCAATCTTCATGCCAGGTGTTCTTGGTACATGTTCTTGGTGCCACTTTTTAGTATCTTCATAGGACTGTTAGGTCCAATTTTTTGGCAAGGTGAGGCTAGGCAGCTGGCTACTGGACCTGATGTAAAGACCATGAAAGCTTTTATTAAATGGCTTTATAATTTGTACAAATATTTAGCGCGGGAAGGTTCCCTTTGTGTTAAGCATACTAAATTGCACGTTCTATTTTGCGTTGTAACTAAACACAGCGAATAGTGACTGTGTAAATGTTGGTTCACTATGATGTTAAACGTCCTGTATACGTATACCCATCGCGCCACAGTTTTGTGTTTAGTCTCTTTTCACAGTTATAAGCGTAGAGTATTGTTACATGTGTTCGGTTGATGCCGAAACTTCAGAAGATGCATTGTTAGTTACTGGCAATGCAGGAACAGTCTTGCAAACGTTTGTAGTATAACCAGCGCGACAGTTCCTCACGGCTCATTTTCTCGATTATTTCCTTCCATACGGCTACACTATACTGTTAGAAATGGGTAGCACAGTAGTTGCAAACAGCTGCAGACTCATGTCCACGTCCACTTGTCCAGTGTGCGCGCCTGGACGTTTAGACCCGAAACGGCAACGGGCTGACCACCGCCCAGCCCAGCAAGGCAGCTAGTGCTGCAGACCAAACCCCGGGCGCCGCACCCGCACTGGCGCTTGACGCGTGGGGCGCCAGCGCCACGACCGGAGGCGGCGACGCGGGCGGCGGCTGGACGAGCACGGAGACCTTCATGCCATTCCAACAGTAGCCGCGGCTGCAGATGAAGTAGAACCGGCCCGTCTGGTTGAGCCGGAAGACGAAGTTGTGGCCGCGGCTGTAGCTGAGGATGGGGCTGCTGGCGTCGCACGCCGCGTACGCCGTCTCGTTCACCTGCACCACGTCGTACTGGCCCTTCTCGTACCTGAATTCTGCAAGCAAACGCCTTCAATTCTTTTTTACCAAAAGCTAGATCTCTCGATCACACGGTCGGCTTGATGGCTAACGCTTGAGTGTGCAGAGGTAGAAAGGGGAGAATGGTACCGAGCCAGTCGCCGACGTGGAACTGGTTCTGGTCCGCCCAGTCTGTATAGTTGATGTTGGGTGCCCAGCGATGTTTCCTGCCGCCGACGACGAAGCTTTCCGCGAGGGACGGGGCCGGTGTCGCCGCGAAGAGGAGGAGCACCACGAGGAGGAGGAGCGTCGCGGTAGCCATTTCTTGGATGTGTCGAAATGAAGACAGGAAGCGGCGGCGGCGGGGTGGTTTTCTTGAACTTTTGGGAACTGTATTTATGAATAGAATCGGGGTGTGTGTGTTCTCTTCGTTATCAAAACATCGAATTGATTTTGTTGTGCTGGATATTCTCATATTAAATGCATTTCATTCTCGGCGCTTGTGAGGGCAGTCCCAACGAAAGAAACTAGTAATTTCTATAACATAGGATATCACACTAAAAAAGTAGTGTTTTCCAACACATGGTTTCTATAACATCATTCATACAAAGAGTAAATTAAATACAACACCTACAGCCCACATGTGTTCCGTCGACAACACACAATGACAAAGAAACAAAATTGGTCGATAGCTGCCAGCAAATGAACACAGCCGGCAAACATAGATCATATTTCTGCATTCCATATCTTTCCAGAACCAAATATCACCATACAGTGACCCATAATTCAGTCTCGAAAACCATACATTAATTAATAATAGCAATCCGGAGATAAAGATAACATGTAACATACATAGTTCGTACGGAAGTACTGAAGTTCATCATATGCAAAATAAAAAAAAATAAGGTTGCACATGTCAGGTAGGTTGCACATGCACTCTAAAATCCATCAGGTCGCAATGGACTCCAAATCTTCAGAAACCATCATCTACAAGGAAAGAAATAATGATTAGATGAAAAACATTACTTAGTGCAATTGGAAAGGTTGAACTGGCACATGTGTTTTTCAAAAAACTAATCTGTTCTCTGTAAACAAACATACTAGGATGACTTAGCTATATTTGCACACTAAACCAAATCAGATTGAAGATATGTACCTAATTATTTTGCCTATATGTCACATAGAAACTCATCAAGTTCATACTCCAGTAGTGTAATGGAAAACTCCAGTACAAGAAAACTCCAGTAGAAGAAAAAGCTTATGGACACCAAGTTCATACTTGAAAACCTGCTGTCACAAAGAAATTAAACTTTAACACATACTCTCCAGTGCTCAAGTAATTGTCACTACAAGCATTTAGCAAATACCTTAATTATCTGTACCAAATAAGGCCAACCTCATACTCTCCGCTTTCTCCCTCTCAGCCAAAGCATGAGCATTCATATCAGTTGTCGGTGGTAACAGAAGCTCTCTGTAAGTGTCTAGCATTTTACACTTGAGTTGCTTCTCTGCTGCCTTATCAGTCAACCTAGCAGCTTCTACCTTACTTTTTGCCATAATTTGCTGCGTCTCCGCCATCTTCTCACGGTCCTTTCTAGCCAATGTGCTTACTTCAATGAACTTGTCTAGCTTGTCACTAATAGCAGAAAAAGCTTTAGGTGTCTTCTTTTTCCCATAGAGCTCAGCCTTAGCCTTCTTATGTCCAATAGGACGAATCTTAGGATTATCTTCCAAATTCACCACTTCAGACGACGAATCAGCTGCACTCTTGTTCTTCTCTTTTTCTTGTTCCTTTTTCACATATGCAGACCACTTCCTTTCATTCCGCACAACCTTCCAAAAGTGCTTCAGTGTAAAATCTTTATCATTATGTTCACCAGCATACATCTTCTCAGCAATTTCCATCAATTGATCATCGCTCACACCACTTTTGTAGACTTTGGTGGTTCTATTCCAGCAACCATGGAAATCCATTACTGGTTTCTTAACACGGTCCCAGCGGATCTTCAGTTGATTCCGGTTTCTCCTACGGCAAACCTCTGTGTTTTTATTGTATTCTTCAGTAACATCCGCCCAATATTGATCTGCCTTCCTATCGGTTCCATCAACTGGGTCCTTTGAGTTACGCAGCCAAGCAGAAGCCTACATTCACAAAACAACACCTCAAAGTTTATAACCAAGCAAATTGTTCAAGTTGTTCACAAACTAAGAAAGGATGCTTACCAATCTAACGTCTTCAGGTTTCATTCAATCGCCTCTCAGTCCTCTCGTCTTCGTTGCTTTCATCCGCATCAATATTGATTGTTTCTTTGTCTGCTGCATTGCTTTCTAGGGTTCTTTTCAAACTTGGACCAGTTGGAGAAATTGTAGTTCTACTTGTTGTATTTCCAACTAAATGGAAATTCTCTGGACTATCATTTGACTGGAGAAAATTGGTAAACCCACATGGTGGGTACATCCTAAATAAATGAAAAGAGATGTTCAATGAGCATTCATCGGATCATATAGAAAAAGCATTTTCTACCATAAATACTTATAGTAACAGTATGAACCACGTTGGAAACACTAAAACTGATAAGAACAGTTGCCTCGATCAAAATTGCCTCGATCAAAATTGAAACACTAAAACTGATAAGAACACATACCCTTCATTGGAGCCAATCGGAGAGGAATTTGTCCACCACGTTGGCAATCCGGCTGCTTGAAGGCTTGGAAGTGGTGGAGATGCTGCTGCAGTCACGCGAGAGGGATTACCGGTGGCCGAACTGGATCCATCATCAGGGACGACGGGAGCACCGACTACCGAATCAGATCGGGTAGCGAGGGCGGCAGGAGCACCCCTGCCCTGCCTTGTCCTGCCTTCCCCTGCCCTGCCTTGCCTGGAGCTTGACGATGGTGGCCGGAGAAGATTCATGCTTGCAGATTGGGGGCTGAATGATTCTAGGTCTTGGAGGCCAGGCTATTTGAGGCTAGGTGAGCGCGCGGGGGAGATCCAGGCGAGCGCGCGGGGGAAAGGGCGACGCAATGGCGGGAGAAGCACGGGGAAGGGAGGGAAGGGCGAGCGCGCGCGGGAAATCGAAGGCGGGAGCGCGCGGGGGAGATCCAGGTGAGCGCGCGGGGGAAAGAGCGGAGATCCAGGTGAGCGCGCGAGTCGGGCGACGCAGTGGCGGGAGCACGCGGGGGAGATCCAGGCGAGCGCGCACGCCATCAGCGCGAGGGGGCGGCGGCGCATGGGATCCAGGTGCAGGGCGCTCGACGCTGGTCGTTTCTTCCCAATGGCGTTTTCGTAGTTTCTAGGTGCCTCGTTGCTAGCGTCGACGTCGTTCCTTACTGAAGAAACGGTTTCTTCATTTTCTTCTCTCTCTCTACATTAATTTTCATGCCACATCAGCAAAATGCTAACTTGTCCAAGTAATTAATGAAGATAGAAACTACCATAAATACATCATTGGAACTGTCCTGAAACCACTCTCTACCCGGTGGCGGCCGTCGGCCAGGTTGGTAACCGAGTGGGTTATCTAGCAGTAACTAGGGCCGCAGGGCGACGGATGAAACTGGCATATGCAGCCCGAACACACTGGGGCGTTTGCTCTGCGTTCTTTTCTTTCTTTCTTTTTTTAGGAATGCTCTGCGTTCATGTAATCATGGTAAATGGATTTCGCGTGACCTGGGCTGGGCCTGCCGGCCTGGGTCCGCATATGCCGTATGCGAGATCAAACTTCTTTCTTTCTTTCTTTTGTTACGACGCGAGCAAACTTCTGATTTGCTTGGAAGCGACTCATCGGGCTGAAATTTGATCGAGTCAACTCCTCGCGGATCGCCAGTGAGTCGGCACGAATCGGTTTCCAGTGTGCTTCTAGGCAACCTTTAACAGTCCATGCAATTTTAATTCCCCTTTAACAAGGACAACTCAGATAGCTCGTATAAATTCAGCTTAACATTTTGCTTATACTTAGAAAAAAGAAAAGAAAAGGAGATGAAAGAACCATACTATACTAGGTTGGGCTAGAGCCTGTTCGGGAGGCCGTATTGTATCGTGGATTATTTACTGCTGGCTGGTTTGGTGTGAGAGAAAAACACTGTTCCTGGCTGGAAATTTACGATCGTTTACGAGCAAGCGAACAGGCTGAGATTACGAGGTCCGCTCGTTGGGCCCACCAACAGTCCAACACGCCAATATGTTGTGCTCCTGCAGTCCTACCCCCTGGTCACTTGCACCAACCTTCGTCAATAGATACGATCATTGCATATAATCAATAATACCACGATGAAATTAGCCCAGTTATTAAGAGAGATAGTGTCGGGTTTATAAATCCGGGGTTCTTAATGGACCTGCTCCTTAGCAAAAGCTCGGCCCAGCAGACGACGTTGCGAACGACGCGCAACTCCTGGGCTGGCCCAGATACCTAAAAACGACAGGTCGGAAGAGCGATCCAGTCTCCGACCGGAAGGCCTGGCCAAGGAGAGGACGACGCTTGCTTCCGACTCCGACTCGCTTCTCCGATCGGAATGCCTGGCTAAGGAGAGGACGACGTTCGCTTCCGACTCCAACCCGCGTCTCCGACCGGGAGCCTGGCCAAGGAGGGAACGACGCTCGCTTCCGACTCCGACCCGCTTCTCCGACCGGAACGCCTGGCCAAAAAGGGGATGACGCTCGCTTCCGACTCCGACCCGCGTCTCCGACCGAGAATACACCGAACCTCTACTTACGGCTCTTCTCCAATTGGCGCGGTCGGAGCCGACTGGGAACGACCGAACGGGGACGTCCGCTCGGTGAGGACCCGAGAAATTAGGCGGAGCAGATAAGGTAAGGCACACAAGTCAACCGCAATACCGAGGACCATATCATACACACCTGTAGGACAGTACTGTCAGGCCTTGTCAGAAGGGTACTTTGCAACCTTCCAGACATGTCAGAACACGAACAGTGTTGTGGGCGCCGATATTTGTCCTACAGTATAGTAGGCGCCGACATTTGCCATACCAGAAGAACACGATGGAGCCAACCACACGCATCTGGGCGTCAACAGTATTGTGGGCGCCGACAAACCGTCTTGTACCCGATGGCATGGGCAACAAGACTAGGTAGCACACACACTCTCTCTCACTTGTAAGGCCGTCCCCTTCATCTATAAAAGGGGATGCGCCCTCTCCAGACGACAACAGACGACAGACAACAAACAACAGATGGATCATTCCGACTCACTCTCTGCTAGCTTTAGTCATTCTAAAGCTACAAAGAGCATACGTTCTAATACTTAGCGCACGTAGGAGCTCCCGTCACTCTTGGCCCTTTAGTCCAGAGTCCGACCGGACCTCTAACACCCCCATCTTACTCCCACTCGTTTGTAACCCCACAGCAAACTTCGAGCACCTAGGCTCAGCCAACCGACTCAAACTGGACGTAGGGCACGTTGCCTGAACCAGTATAAACCCTGTGTCATTGAGTGCTAGGCCACATCCGATTACAACGTACGGCAAAACGACAAATATTTACTTGTTGGTCACTTTTCACACCAACAGATACGATATGCAATGCGTACAAACAAAAGCACCAATAGATATACCAAACCTCATATTGTTTCGTCATGGCCACCGTTGGCCAATTAATAAGATGGAAAGTCCTATGTCTTCAAAGGCAATGAGCCATATGGGAGTTTAGCATATGTTGCTAACCCATATAGGGAAATTTATGAAAAGAGGAGTAGATATGAATGGAGGCTAAGCATATCTTAATCAGCACCAGCTTGCCCCCATGTGACACCGAAGCACATGAGAAACCACCTGTATTTGCTCAGACTCTAGATTCATGGGATCACCTCACTCTTCTTGACCGAAATCCTGTCAAAGAGTTGTATTTCAAGTTCTTAAGTTTGTCTACGTACATGGGACTCTAATAAAGCTACAGTGTCGTGAGGTACTTGTGTTTGTTAATGGAGTTTGTGTGGTCGTTGCTAGCATGGTCATGGTTAATTTTTGGCTTGGCTCACTGTCTCAATGTGGCTCCATTCGGGAACGGTCACAAGATTATCTCATGTGGCTCCATGTTGCGTTAATGGAGTTTGTGTGGTCGTTGCTAGCATGTTCATGGTTAATTTTTGGCTTGGCTCACTGTCTCAATGTGGCTCCATTCGGGAACGGTCACAAGATTATCTCATGTGGCTCCATGTTGCTTCATGCTCACAAAAGTTTTGGGTGTGTTTGATTGCTGACTGCAACACGCCACAACTCACCTACCACAGCTTTGGCATGCTTTAGGCCACGCCCAACGCATTATGCTGGACTCTCGTCTTATCAGGCCATGTAGGCTCGGATGTCACTTGGAATACAAAGTACTTATCCGTAAAGTAGTCTCACATTGTCAGTGTGTCTTGCAGAAACTACGAACGCCTCATCTAAAAAAATGCTAGAGAAACCATGTGGCGACACATTATGGCAAAAAAAACACACCCCTAACACATGCTTTCTGAGGACCATCGCCATCCACCAGTGACGTGGATGTTGTGGGACCAACTAAAAAATTGATGCCACTGACGCTGAGAAATAATGGTCTTCATTTGTTGTATCTACATGAAAGGTAACTTTTTTTTTAAGCTGCCAAAGGTATACACCGAGAATAGGCCTGCTCTTTAGTCCTGATTGGCTACCTAGCTTAGTCTATGGCATTGGCCTTGATCGCTTATGTGGAAACCGGTTTGTTTGATATTGTTTTATTGTGAGAATAGTTGTTTTTTATATCACAATTGATAAGTGTGGCTGATACGATCAAGCAAATATGGTGCATTGCCACAGGACCTAAGTTTGACGTCCTTCAGCGTTTCGTATGAATATAGCTGGCCAAAAAATTGTCGTCACGTTTATGTGACACTTGCACTATGTTGGGCTAGCCAGAGCTTAGGCATGAAGCAAACAGACCTACAATTCAAAGCATAAATCCCCTTGTTGGCACCGAAATTTATATGGATCCTTTACCATTGATTGAAAAATTATACTACTTCCCTTTGACTGCCAGTCTGCCACTATTCTACGTTTGCATTACCTTGATTGCCATTGCTGTTAAGATCTGTTAACTTGCCATGTTGGCGCTCGCCGAAGCACCGTGCTGCTTGCCTGCTTCCCTTGCTCTCGCTCGCCTTTCTCACGAGTCACGAGCGTCGTGCTGCTCTGGCCCGGGCTCCCGACCGTGCCGAGAGATCGTTTCCTTGTACCCTATGAATACTGGACAACCCGGTTAATGAAATTATTGTGTATTCTCTCCAAGATATATACGCTTTACATGGGAAAGAGAGGGAGAGACTGATAGAGCTAAGCAGGAACCATGAAGAAGACATGCCCACTCGGACACTCACGACTCTGCTGCTACTAGGGGGTTCAGGGACCATCTCTTCTCAGCTATCCTGTTGACTTCGGCTCCAACTCTTGGAGATCCGTCGACACAAGCCGCTCGTCGTCATCCCCACTCCAGTCTGAAAAACCCGGGCCCTTGCTTAGCCGCGTGCCGGTCATGCTCAGCCAGGCCTGGGCGGCCACGTGAGCTCAGGCGACCGGCACCTACCCGGCGGCCGCGTGCTCACCCAGGCCGAACGCTCGCCAAGGTCGCCGCGCTCGCCCAGAGTCCCAGACGTGGCCAGGGCCACGCCGTTGGGCCTCCACGCCCGTGTTCGCCAAACGCTTCTCCCACAACCGGTTCGGCGCCGAATTGGGCAGGTGCGATGTGCGGCTAGGAAAAGATAACGGAGGGGGCAGGCCATCATATCAGTGGTACAAGTGCAACTTAACAGAATTTGCAAAAAAAAAAGTACAAGTTAACAGATTTTAACAGGAATGGCAACCAAGAAAATGCAAACTTGGAATACTGGCAATCAAAGTAAGTTGAAAATTTCGATGGCACTTGAGAGGATCTGTATAAATTCCAACGACAATGAGAAAATCTACTCCGATTCAAAAGGGCACCACGCCAAAGAAAGTGACCCAGCATTCCATACAGGCTACAGCCATTGGCAGTACGCACGAGGTGCGAGTAACCGACAATCCCACATGATATTCTGCATGTTTCTTGCCACAATTCCACACATGGTATATTTTCTATCCTGTCCCCAAAATGGGTACTTACCAATGTTCTGGCTTAATGCCAGGAGTTCGGATCTGGCAGTTTACCGCTATATAAACACACTCAATCCAGCCTCCTAAGCAAGTACGCGATTTCAACCTCCTTGGTTAGCGGCATGATTCTGTAGCTGTACAGCTCGGCGACCAAGCTCGGCCTCATCTTGTACACCGGTGGGTTGCCGCTGTCCTCAGCACCGATGTTCACCTCTTGCCCGAAGTTCTTGGCTTTGGCTTCCACCCTCTGTTCGATAGCACGCTCCACCGTTTCATATGTGAGAAGGTGCATGAGTTGATCACGGTCCTGAATTTTGCAAAACGTGACAAGAAATAGACAGTTTTTTCAAATGAATCGAAATATCATTTTGTTCTGAAACTCTGAAATAAAACAAAGAAAAAGTTGAAATAGTAGTACTAGAAATACTAGAGTTGAAACAAAAGCACAGACCTGGGCTATTATGGCTGGCATGTAAGCTTCAGGGGACTCCTGAAACTTGGCCTCTGCCACAAACATCCCATAGTGGATCCTTTTAGAGAGTGCCTGAAGTATGGAACAAGGAACACAGAATAAGGAAAAATTTATAAAAAATGCAAAATTGCACAAGTCACCAGCAAACATCAGCTCAGTACTACGAAAATGACATCTCACGAAATCACGGTGATAGGAAATTTTGCAGGGATTGATGCCAAATTTGGCTTGACTTTGTTTGCTAAAATATATTCTTTTAACTGAATGAAAACTGCAGCAGACAGAGCAAAGGAATTTTTATAACCTAGTTGACTGGAACAAAAGCAGATGTGCACCCAAAGAACTAAAGCTGAGTAGAGGATTTAACATGAATATCAGCTGTACCTGCAAGCAGGTCGTGTCACAAAGAGAACTGGATCCAGCATTACCATCACTTCCTTCTTTCACCAGTCTTGGAAGAAGTTCATCGAAATACATTTTCCAAATCTCTTTGTTGATATTTATAGAATCAGCAACGGGATGCAAAACCTATGCAAAGGACAAGAGTGAAGTATGAATCCATCTAAAACTTACTAACATGGTCATAAGACCAGGACATCTCATTGGCATTATGAATCTTGCAACAGATGACAGTCCAAATGCAGCATAAACAGATGTTTCATGTTGCAGATGGATCAGGATTGCACTATGCCAGCACTTGTAGAATATGACAAGATTCATGCAGGTTAAACCATCCAATGATTAAATTGAAGCAAAGTGCTAAATCATCATCAGTGGATATCCGCTTGAAAAAAATGCAAATAATGCTACTTTCACCTCTGATCTGATCCACCTACAGTTCAATAGTGAGAGAAGATATGGCACAGGGAAAGTAGTAGATTTACCATGAGAGAAGATATGGCAGAGGGAAAGTAGTAGATTTATTCAATGTGTACAAGGGGGTACAGCATATATAGGCAAGGATCGGTGTGGGGTTTATAGAACACACCCAATCAACGGAGATCCTTGCCTAATATGGGAGATCAACTACTATAAACCTGAGGCAGCCCAGCCACCAGGCGTGGGCGCCAAGGCCCATGGCCAGCCCTATAGGCGCTAGTCTAACAAATAGGAGCTTTTTGATTTACTCAAAGTCAAAAGAGCATATGTTGTAATAAAAAAACAAAAAATAACCCCATCGCTCAACGCAATACAATAAAGAGCTGTTGAGCTCATTCCATAATATATTGAAGAAAGTAGAGTATATTAGTAAACACGGAACTTTTTCGGTCACTTGTATCTAAGGTCTGTGGGCTGTGGCATTTGCAATAATGATAGTGCATTCTGCAAGTCACAGCACACTGTCACTACCTATATGTTGTTCACTAACTGGGCATTGCTCAATATATTAGCTAGCTGTACAAGCCTTTTAATTCAGATGCCAAACAACTGTATCCAGAAACACATTTATTTTATCTACCTCCATGAAGAAAATGGTACATTAGATTGCAAATGATGGTTTATATCTCTTACAGTGACAAAGAAACCAAAACAGTCATCAAGAGAAACATTTGACAACCAAGAACGTGCATTACCCTTGGGTATTGTATAGGTGGCAACCGGGGCTCAGGCAGATCCTCAGGAAAGAAAGGGTACTCATCTGGGCTATTATATCTCCCAACCTATGTTAAAAACATTAGCATATGTTATTCTTTCGCATGCCATGATCAATTGTTTTTGTTAAAAAATGTCCAAATGGATTCACCTGTGCATGGAGCTTTTCAGTTTCTCTAACCATATATTCAACCAAAGATCCTTCAAAACCATCCATGTGGAAAGCTTTGCTATCATATGTATCAGCGTTGTAACAATACTGGGCTCTCTCCAAGAGGCCAAATATGATGCTGTCTTCTAGTCTAATCAAAACTTGTCTAATGCTATCCAATTCAAATATATCACTTCGATCAACCCTCTCTTCCCTAATAAAAGCGCACCATTAAGATAAAGAATGATCAGTTCCTTCAGTATAACTAATAGTGGATTTCGTAAAAAGAAAGAGTTAAGCATCACATAAGACAGTAAGCCTTTGTGCAAAAAGCAACGAGATTAGTATATATATAGCCGTCCATGTCAATTTCCTCCTTAAGAGCTAAGATTCCACTTACGTATCCGGAATAATTTCATAAAAATCAAGGTCTCCTCGCATTGCACAGGCGAGGGTAAGGCTTGCCGCTAACACCCTTCCCCAGACCCCGCACAGAGCAGGAGCTCTCTGCACACTGGGTGCGCCCTAGGAGACTTCGTCACTCGTCAGAAAGGAATTACAACATCTGAGTCGTCAGAGGTGTGGAAATTTCCACGGATTAGTTACAACAATGTAGATATATAGTGACTAGAGGCTACATCATGCTTTGGGGATACGTCATGACTTCCAAGGTCAAGTCTACCACCAAATAATTCAACTTCACATGGTATGTATGGTATTAAGCAAAAGGCGTAGAATAATCAAACATCATGTCATTCGTTAACCCAATAATAAGCTCCGCGGGACAGTTCGACAGGAGGTCCCCAAATTCTAGAATTAGCACACCAGCTACAAATTAGATGCCTCGAGTATCTAAACATGGATGATCAGGTTCAGAAGGGCGAATCTCACAAAAGGAAACACATAAAACCACGAGAACTCCCCCAACTGGGAACCAACATCCAACTCCAAATAAGAGCCGGAAAGTACCACACCACGACGCACAAGCACAAAATCATCCGGATCCAGCGCCACCCCCCACATACCTTCCAGAAACCAAGCGCAACAACCGTTCATTGAATCAAACAATTTGTTATTAGTGAAGGAGGTTTCATACTTGGCCATGGGCGTCACGGAGTTGTTGACCGCGCGCAGCCCCTTGGTCCTGGACGCTGCTGGTCCGAAGGCAACGCAGCTCCTACCCTGCGGCCCGCGGGCGAGACCTCCCCGGTGAGCAGCCGCTGGCGACGCCGCCGCGGCCTTGGTGCCCAGCTTGGAGGCCATCGCCACCTACCACCTCCACCACGAGCACCTTAATTCGGGACGCTCGCAGGAAGTGGGGAGAAGAGCATGTTAGGCCAGGAAATACCGGGGGTTTTATTTGTAGGGGAAGTGGGTGGGCGTGGGGCGGAGGGAGAGAGTGGTAGGTGGGAGGGGCCGATGATCGTGGTCCATGGGGAACGTGACGAGAGACGTCACAGTCTGCCAGTCTCGCATCAGTGGTGGCCAGGCAGGCGACCAGGAGAATGGGGAAGAGGGCAGGGAGAGGGACCGGAATCATGGATCCAGCCATCCAGCGGGGCCAACAGGGCAAGGGCGTGAAGAAGAAACGGCTCGAGGGTAGGTTGGCCTTAGTTGGATGGTCAGGCGCGCGGGCGTGCCATCCTGGTTTTTGGTGGAGGCGTGAAGTTGGATGCCTGGATGGCGTGGGCGAGGGTCCGATGGGTTGGTCGCGAACCCTTCTGATTTGGTGAGCCTTGGGCGGCGTTTGGCGCTGCCCGTGCCGCCCGCCGGGTCGTGGTGGCTTGAGTGCGAGCATCCCGCCTTCTGGGTCAGGAGTGGTGGCATTGCCATTTTCACCTTTTTATTTACGCGTGTGATAATTGAGGGAGGATGGACAGAGGCGGAGCCAAGATTCGGCTACAGAGGGTTCAAACTCACAGAGTGTTACCGACCGCGTGATTCGTAAAATTAATGTCATCGTGGAAACACGTGTAGCTGAGTCACGCACAGTGAAGACAAAATGCTAGCAGGTTCCAGCTCACAAAGTGTCGACAATCCTGTTTGAATTGGATCTTACCGACTGCGTGATTCGTAAAATTAAGGTCGTCGTTGAAACACGTGTAGCTGAGTCACGCACAGTGAAGACAAATGCTAGCAGGTTCCAGCTCGCAGAGTGTCGACAATTATGTTTGGATTGGAACTTACCGATCGCGTGGTTCGTAAAATTAAGGTCGTTGTTAAAACACGTGTAGCTAAGTCACGCACAATGAAGACAAAATGGGGCAGTTCGTTGGTCAGTTTTTCAGCCAGAATTCACCGTTTCCGGCTGAAAAACATTGTTCACTCTCTCATAAATTCCTCCAAATTCATCTAGATTTCTTCAAATTTCTTCAAGTGAACAGGACCAATGTTGGCAGGTTCTAGCTTATAGAGTGTCGACAATCATGTTCGGATTGGATCTTACCGACCGTGTGATTCATAAAATTAAAGTCACCAAACACGTGTAGCTGAGTCAGGGAAGGGAAGACAAAATGTCGGCACAATAGATCCCTTGGTGTGATTGTTCGTTACTCTCGTGGCCAACATTTTGTACGGTATCATGTCTGCTTAAAAACTATCCACTTTGATGTTAGCTTAAAAAATTATAATAAATCATCTTGAATCTCTTTATCCTAGAAAAATGCTAAATGTCTAAACTGAAGATTAAAAAGACATTATTCATAGATCAGCAGTTCACAATATATCTATTTTATTTAGACACTTGACATTAGAAAATCAAGAGATATATTTGAGAAAACAATATACAATTGATTGCTCTCACCCTTGCCTCGGATGGATACATGGTAACCACGAGCGTGGAAATCACCTAGGTGGTTTCTATATAATTAATGAATACATGCAGCTAACTATGGTATTATGGCACTCTCAACACAAAAATCAAATGGTTTCTATAGACATTAATTAGTGTGCTAACTAAAAGAGATACTGATGTGACATTATAATTAATGAAGAGAGAGAAGGTATGTTTTTTTATATAAGAAACTACGTCTATATGAGAACCAATATAAGAATCATATGATTTGTATGGTATAATCTACACCCTCTATCCTGTAATATAAAGGAGCCAAAGTTCAAATTTGTATCAAAATACAAGGTATTCTAGGCCCTTGACCCCTACTCTTCTCTGTCTTTTTTGGTAGGAAATTTTGAGATTCCTTTTAAACTTAGGGTCATCCAAAACAAAAAGCATTAATTAAGAAAAATAACAACTAAACTACTACCTCCATCCTAATTAGCATGAGGACAAAGTGGTCTTTTGCCAAGCACCTTATTTTGTCTTAAAATCACTTGAATGAATCCCTATTATAGAACTAAAGGAGTAGAAGACATTTTGAAAGTGCAATCAAGCTCTAATTATGGGTTTTGATGATAATAACCACGCAATTAGAGAACTAATGAGATTTATCGAGATTACGAGCATGGAATATATATTCGAGGATGTTACATGAAACGGAGGAGCCCCCAATTTCAAATGTTGATGACTTCAAACTCAAAAAGAGGTTTAAATTTTTTTATATTTTGAATTTGAGTATAAGAAAAGTCGTACTATAAAGGATGACACAATGCTTAAGCTAGCATGTGGTACCAATTGCTCAATCTTATAAATACATCCTCAGTTACTCAGCCAAGACAGCCAAGACAACCAACACTTCACTCTTACCCTTGTTATCTTGTTTGGTGCGGCAATGCCGCACCTGTAGAGAGGCACTGCCGCACTTGAGCCACAGCACTGCCGCGACTTAAGTGATCGTTGGGGCTGAGGGTATTTATACCTTTCCCCTTCCTCTTCAACACCGCTTTTCTCTTTCCCACTCATTCAGCTCGTCCAAGAACAGAAGAGTGATGTGGTAGAATCGCCTAATCTAATGTCTCACAGAAGTACTTGTCTTCCATTAGACACTAATGACTCAAGAGAAGGCACTAAACTATGCAGTTCCGTCGAGCACACCCTAAGAGAGAACTCGAAAATCCACATTTCTCCATCTAGGATCATAAATAAGAGAATAAAGCTTACAACATTCTGAAGTCATTTTTTACATCACTTTATTACAAATAGTAGAATATTACCTTAATTGATTATAACAGCGGAATCTAACAATGTTATCAGAGTTATAGAGGAAGCAAAGATTAATTTAACGACATGGTAGAGCATTAACATAGTGGACATTTATATACAAGAGATGCTAGCAGATTTTACATATTTTCTTATAAAAACCTTTAGTAAGGGTTATAAATAAACACTACGGTCGTAGCGTGAAAAGAATCCTCTCTGAGCCCATCAGGAGATTTTTCACACACAAGAGTCAGCTCTAAGTATCACCCGATCACCTGCAACAGGAGGAATAAAACCCTAAGTACTCTATTGTACTCAACAAGACTTACCCGACAGGAGGAAAATAAAAGTCTCCAAGGATATGTAAGGTTTATTTGGCTTGTGGGTTGTTGCATCTACGGAAGCATTACTAAACGTGCGTCCTTATATTCAATTTTATTAGCAGTCATCATTAGTTCATTAACTAACTATTATTTGTAAGCACCTATGCTACTTTCAAGCAGGTGGTAAGCAATCAGAACTATTTTATCACCTTTCAAGTTTCAGTTCTTACTACGGTGCTAGACCATAGCCAAGTCGTACCGTCTCGCAGAAATAGCGATTCATGAATCAATGTATCCCAGCTGGGTACCCCAAAACACACACCCCATTTGTACCTCAGGTATAAATAAGACCAACCCATTCCACTCTTGTCACGGGGTCTAGGTCCCCATCCAAACTTGGACTCCAAACCCCCACATTTAAGACCCAGTCTCAGTATGGTGCATAGACCTTCACCTTTCCCTGCCTCCAATCAGTCGGTCCAAAAAGAGCTAGAACCCACGACAAGAGCGTAATGAGCCTTCCCTCTCCCATAAACAAGTATGTGCTCAGGATAATATGTCTGTGACCTGACTATCATCCACAGCAATGGACGATCCTCAATTGACACAGGCGGAACAAGTGCAATCTGAGCCTCACTCGAATGCCTAACCAAGTCCAGATCCAAAGTACCATTCCGCCTGGTCTCCGATTATCATTCATATATATATTCCATGTGCTAGTAATATAATAACAACAATAATATCTTTCCTATTTCTCGCGAGTGACAGGCAATCACTCGACTTCTACCAAATTCTATGGCATAGCAATCTACATGATCCTGACATGCTAGTAGGACTCATAGGATAAGGATATACATATGCAAGTGGGTTTCATTCAACTCCTCAGAACTTAATGCACAAGCATAAGATAAAGTACAGAATAATAGAGGTTATGCACCGGGGCTTGCCTGGGTAAGATATAACCAAAAGTTAGCATTCCATCATGGTGTCACGATCATCAAGGCACCATCTTTTCTGCTACCTTGGTCGACTCCATGATCCATCATTGTTTCTATTATGATATACGTGGATGCAACGTAGAAACGCAATTAATCAACGGTAACCGCAACTCTTAAAAATACGATTACGCTCCACAAGCTAACGAGCTAGATTTACTGACTAACGTACTAGTCTACGTATCCATCTCGTTAAGTAAGGCTTTGCCTCCAAAAAAAATATTCTAGTTTTAAAATCCCATGGTGCTTCGGCATTTTATTGATTAAATATATATATTTTGAACTATGGCTCATTTAGCTACCCTAGCTAACTAACTATTATGGAGCTACAAAAATTACAGTAAGCACCTAATAATGTTAGAAATTTACTGTGAAAGTTTCAGAGACAACAATATCACCAATTTATCACAAAAATTCTTATAAGTTTATATCTTGCAATATTGAGCATATCAAATTAATTAGATCATTTCTAAAAATATTATAAAACTATATGAACAAAATATACTAGCAGATAGACCATGATTTTAGGAACTTAACAAAATTAGTTTCATAATTTTTGTTTAACTACAAAATTTTATATTGAATTTACAGGTTTAACTTAGAAACTAAAATAGAAAATACATTATGAAAAAGGAAAGGGCCGGTAGTGACCCCATCTGGCCCGCAAGATTTCAAATGCAAGGTATACGTCATGGCGTCGTGTGATGTATCTGACGCCTAAGGTCTTGAAGGCGGCATGCGTTGGTTTTGCATAAAGGTCCCTAAGCTTTTAGAGATTAATACGACTACTATGCACACTATTCCTATCGTTAGTAACTTTGCAACCAAACCCTCGGATGTTTTCGCCTT